CATGTATTTGCCGACTGTTATTGGTTACATTGTCCCTACTTATCCTCCCGTTACAGAAGTAAGACATTGTAGCATTATATATATATATATATATATATATATACTTTATTGAATTATATTAATTGTTCTTACTTACAATTTTTAGTATTGGTGGGAACCTAAACAGCCATTACAAATCGCATTTTGGTCGATGTCGACGGCGTGCCTGCTGCTACTTGTACTCTCTGTGGTGTGCTGTATGCTTTGGCGTAACGCCAAAAGGTAAGAAAAGGTAAACAGAACCAAATCCATGTGACTACAGCTTCATTCGGTTGCACCCGCTGTACCGAACGGTAGCGCATGCAAAAACTGGTTCTGGTTTATAGACACAGTTGCAAGATACAGTTTCTTTGTCTTTTTACATAATCATTTCTGAATATAAATTGTTAATTAACTCTATTCCTGCTTACAATTAGCAAAACGAAGGCTGCTAGGATACGTGCAGGTATTTATAGAAGATACTTTAAGCATAATTTTATACAATATGCCTGTCACATATTGCTTTATTAATTGCACATGTTTACATATATTATTATATAATTCACATGAAAAATGGGTAAACTAAATAATAAAAGGAAGGATCCCGTTTACCTACAATCTCGATTGCATACACCACTCATATCAGTTGGCCTAAGTAATAATTTTTCATTGCTTTACCAATGAGAATATTTTATTTTTAAATTAGTCAATTAGCGATGCATGTATGCAACGTGCGATGTGTGCAATCGGAGCCTTCTCTAATAAAAGTGATTAAATTATTAACTTAACTTTTACTTAGATTTACTTAGTTGCATGTATGTATTTTTATATAATTTACAAGAAATGGGCATTGTTTATTAAATAATAAAATATTAACTTGATTTTTACTCACAATTAGGTATACATTTTTTCTGTATACACTGTACAATATTCTTTTGCATTATTTTCTCCACAGACAATCTGATCACTACTATAGCGGAGACATCCTGATGGTACGAGACGATGAGCACTCCGAGGGAATCGAGAATATAACACGTTCATCTAAAGAAAATATATACGAATATCGTGATGTACCAGTGAAGACCCGAATACCGCGTCAAAACGAAATGAGACTGCAAGAACGTTTAGCACATAACAGAAAATTCAGTTCTACACCCTCGTTACGTAGCAATTCTAATGTCTCATTAAAAGATATGAGATCGGAAGGTTTCATCACTAGCTCACCTAATGGTCATCCTAAAATGGCAAAGACACTGAGTCAATCTGCACTGCCAAAAACTAAAAGCAAAACACTTTTAGTACAGGGAGTACCACAAACAGCTGTTTAATACTTAAGTTACCATTATACAAAAAAATCGACAATCTTTTTATATTTATTTTTTTATACTTAGGTTTTTAGATGCATTAATTGTTTTAAAAGATGATGACATTTATTTTTTAAAAATGCCAAATTGTTAAATTAAAATTAGAAAGCTTTTTATTACAATTTTTTTTAAATGAACGGAGTGTTTACACACAGACAATAATCAAAATAATTATAAATTGATATAATATTGCTTAATATTTTTAATCATTTTATAAATAATGCGAAAATTTGTTCATTATTTATTATATTATTATATTGAAATGTACTCTCTTGTTAAATTGCTAAAGTACATTTTTTAATAACAACGAGATATTAATACACTTGAATGTGTTCGTAAATCAAATATTATTAGTCACATTTATATCTTGATATAATCACACGACAATGCCATTTGCGTATAAGAGCATTAAGTTAATAATTAAACGATTTTAAATCATAATGTACTGTAAAATATTAGATTTTTATAAATTATGCGATATATAATAATACAAGTGGCTACTTTGTATCCGTCCATAATAATAGAATAACTGTAATCTTATTAAAATAATAATTGTTATATAAATGGAAAAACAGCATTTTATATATTTTATATGTATATATATATATATTATATATATATAAAAATACTGAATATTTTATATTGCTTTTTACAAAGCTGATACTTTCGTAAAACATAAAATCAAATTATGTAATATAGCTCAATATCTATGGATAAAGAAAACAAATGCAAATGCAAATAGATTTTAAGTGCCTTTTTCAAAATAAATGCACTGTAATTAATTTAATATATATATATAGATATTTTTCTGAATATTTAATATATTCATTATATAATATATGTATATGTATCGATGTAGCATACTTATCGACATTTATAAGCAGGTTTCAAGTGCAACATTCCGTTGTTCAGTATGCGATTTATTATATATTTATATCGTTCGTACGCGATTAGACGTAGACTAAGTACCTCACTCGCTGCAAAATTCAAATTATGTTAAGCGCACAAATTTATTTCATACATTGCAGCTATATGTGTATAATAACATACATTACATTTTTGCATATTACGTGTAGCTTTTAACATTAAAACGATCTCATTGCTAACAAAGTTGTAACGTAAATGTAAGTCTGACACATCTGAGATTAATATTACACGCACATTCGCAATAACTTTCAGTGATTTGTTGTTTACAAATAGTGCAAACGCATGTGTAAAGCAAGTGATTTGTAAGCACGTAAAAATAGTGCCTTAAGATTTTATTTAAAAATGTCAATAATTTTTATTGTACATGTTGTAAAATTATATTACAATATTTTGCACAAAACGATAATTGTTATTTATATTATTTATAAAACCATAAAATTTCTAGAATGTTATTTTCTAAAAATTCCATTGTGTGGATGTTATAAAATCATAATATTTGCATATAGCTAATTGCAGAATTATGGAATCTCTAGAATTTTAAAATTGAATATAGTATTCAATAAATATTCAAATTATGAAAATTAATTTTCTAAAGAAATTAAAATCTTAATTATCTAAAGCTAAAATAAAATAAAATTCTGTTTAAATCAACAACCATGAAGTACGAATAGCTAGACGCGATGCACTCTATACGGAAACAGCTGGCTTCGAGTGTGAAGGCATTTCTGATGGCCCTGACGCCAAGTGTATATACGTATACGTGTGGTAAAACTGCATATACATGTTGTAAAGATATCTCGAAGATAGTTTGATAGCTGGTGATCAATTATGATTAACTGAAATCGACAAAAACAGAGAAAAACTGGTAATTGTAGGTCAAGGTCAATTTGCTCGTCATTTAATCAATCTCTGCTGTTGACAGAAATCGTAGCAACTTGCCGGTTAAATACTATCTATTCCAACGAAATGCCAGATGCTCGATGATAAAACATAATTTAAATTGTGATTTGAATCTAATATACAATTACATAATTTTTACAGTGCTTAAAAATCGTGTATCATTTTGTAAGATAAATGTTTTGGTATTCAGATAATTGCAATAGAAACAATACATGTTTTCAATATCGACTGCTTTGAATGAGATATATATGTTATATACATATATTAGAATTGTTTATTATAGTCTGTTTGTTTTTTTAAATAAAATAAATATTACAGTTTGGATTATTAGCATAACTTGTATAAATTGATAGATTATTTTTATAATTAGTTTTTCAATTTGTCATTAATTTATGAAATTTCAGAGTTTCAAGATGCAGAAATTTAAGAGGGCTCAAGCACAGAATAAACTGTCTATTGAAAGACATTTGGAAGCCAATGCATTGTTGAATTCGTCTAGTGAAGACGAGGAAACTAACGAAGAAGATGTCCAAAATGTAGTAGACAAAATATTGTCAGCATACCAAGGACAGAGCACAGATGCCGAAAAAGTGATATCGTACTTGGTGAATTCCTTTCAAACCAGTAGTGCTGTTTGTTTGATATGTATATCCACTGTCAAGAAAATAGATCCAGTATGTTTAAACAATACAATATATTATCTCAACATATTACTATCTTGCTAACATTTTAATTATATGTTAAATATGTTTTTAAATGTTATATGCAAGGCTAGACAGTCTTTTATAAGTAAAGATAAGTTTTCTTTAATTTAATATAAGTATTAATACCTAAATAGAAAAAGAAAATTTTTTAATTTTATTAATGCAATCAAAACTTTTATATATATATATATCATATTGACTGATTTTATTATTTTAAAGTTATGTTTAAAATATATATATATATGATTTTAATAGCATTAAACAAGACTGAGAGCAGTTTTATTATTACTTCTCTAATTTTCTATGCAGATATGGAACTGCGACAAGTGCTATGCATTTCTACACATGTCTTGCATCCTACACTGGATCAACGACAGTTTGAGCTGCAAACGGGCTAAAGGAATCACACCGATCTGGGCCTGGTATGTATTTGTCAAGACTTCCATGAAAAGCACAAAACCTCTATTTAATATACCAATAAAAATGCGTATTATTACAGCCCAAAATGCCGTATGGAATATGATCAGGATCAGATTCCAAGATCGTACAAATGCTTCTGTAAAAAGTCTGTAGATCCTCAGTATCAACCATGGATTATTCCACATTCTTGCGGCGAAGCCTGCGGCAAGCTTTTACAACCAGAGTGCGGTCACAAATGCGTGTTGCTTTGCCATCCTGGTCCATGTCCACCCTGCGCTAAGATGATATCTGTTAAATGTTATTGTGGCAAGTTACCGGCGCAACCGCGACGCTGTAATGCTAAAAACTGGAGCTGCGGAACTGTGTGCAATAAAAAATATGAATTTTGTTCACACACTTGTAATAATGTGTGTCATACTGGAGAATGTTCTCCTTGTGTAGAAACAGTAGTATTGAAATGCCGTTGTAAGAGTACCGAGAAAGTAGGAAAATGTTACGAGGGTATATGGATTTGCGAAAAACCTTGCAACAGGAAATTCTCTTGTAACGTACATAGCTGTGAAAGCACTTGTCATCTACCTGGCGATTGCGGCAACTGTCCCCTGGAAAAGAACAGATATTGTCCTTGTGGGAAAAAACGATACGAAATTTCTTGCAGGCGGCAGCAAGTGCCAACGTGTGGGGATACGTGCGGCAAGTTGTTGGACTGCGGATCGCACTTCTGCAACATGAGATGCCATACCGATCGCTGTGGTCAATGCTTGGAAGTCGTAACAAAAGCGTGTAGATGCGGTAGTTACACGAAAGAGATCGCCTGCGCGAAGGAGTTCCACTGCAACAAGAAATGCATGCAAATGCGCTTATGCGGTAGACATTTGTGCAACAAAAAATGCTGCGACTGCATATCGAAGAACACATCCAACCATTGTGAAAAAACGTGCGAGAATACGCTCAACTGCCGTAAGCACAAATGCGCTGCACCTTGTCACAGTGGTCCTTGCTATCCGTGTACCAGAACGGACACTATACAGTGTCGATGTGGCAGCAGCAAGATAACGGTACCATGTGGTACCAGGAAGAGAATCAAGCCACCACCATGCCACAAATCTTGCAAAATTCCACCTATTTGCCATCACAGCAAGAGAGAAACACACAAATGTCATCAAGGCCCATGTCCACCGTGTAAAAAGGTCTGTGGATTGACGCATAAGAGATGCGGTCACTCTTGCCCAGCCACTTGTCACACCAAAGTCTGGATGAAGATTAGAGTGAACGGAGTAAAGGCGCAGCCTATTGGACCCTGGGAAAAACCAAAAGATATTATGGAACTAAAGACTTTGCCATGTCCACCGTGCGAGATTTCCATGCCTATGACTTGTCTCGGTGGTCATGAGACGCGTCCTTGGCCGTGTCACATGTCGAAACCGAGTTCCTGCGGCAGACTTTGCGGCCAGCTATTACCATGCAAGAATCATACTTGCGATTTGATTTGTCACAAACTACAGACTTCTGACAACGAGTCCAACAATGGTATTCCGTGTATGGAATGCGAGAAGGAGTGTAGTTTCGCACGACCGTCTGGTTGTACGCACACGTGTCCGCAACCTTGTCACCCAGCGCCATGTAAACCATGTAAACAATTGGTGCGAGTCTCTTGTCATTGCGGTATTAGCACCCTTTATCGGCATTGCGTGAACTTGACGTCTGCAACGAGCAAGGAACGGGATGAATTACTCAAATGCGGGAATCAATGCCCAAAAAATGTAATTTATATTTATGTTCGGTAAACTATATTATCGCTTAAAAATATTTGTCCATTCCGATTTTTGTACGTATCTTATTTTGTACATAATCTAAATTCCATCTAATTTTATACTGTATCTTTTTTATGTATATAGAATGCAAAATTTTGAACCATTAAACATTATTAAGTATAACATCTAGAAAAGAAAAAAGATTGAAATTTATTTTTTTTAGTTAAGAAAACTAAAGAGGCAAATACTTTTGAATAGTAGTGTATAAATTCTTTTTTTAATATTCTTAAAATTCTTTACTTTTTATTTTTTGCTTTTAACTAAATACAGTGTTTTTTTTTTATTTCAGTATCGATGCGGCCACCGTTGTATCAATGATTGTCATCCAGGAGAATGCAAAGGCGGGGAAGGATGCAGCAAGAAAGTCAGATTATGGTGTAAGTGTAAACGAATCAAAAAGGATTTTCTTTGTTCACTTCTTCAAAAGGAGCAGATTACCGTAGCATGTGATAGCGTATGTGAATTACTGAAAAATGAGAGAAAAGAGGCTCAAGAGGCTATGATAGCGAAAAAACTGGAAGAGGAAGAGCTGCGCAATCGAGAGGAGATTGAAAAATTCGAGAAAAAGTTCAAGCCACGACGAAAGAGGAAGGACAAATACGAGAACTCGAAACAATCCAAAGAAAACGCGAGAAATAAGTATCACATTGCATGGATTTTAGCGATTATCGTAAGCATTATAGGGATAATAATAGTTTATATGACCGTTCCTGATATACCTAGATTGAGCTGATTTTACAAACTGATCTCAAATCTGTGACTATTTACGATAATCATTATTGATAACTAAAAGATTTGTGATGCATTGACTTATACGGATTTTATTAGCGAATTCGATTGGACGCACAAGTCCTATATACACTGATTTAATCTGAGTAAAAGTAAAATGCAAATATATTGCGAATTATGAAATATATATTTTACCTAATAACACAATAAAGTATATTGAGTATTTCACCGATTTAACCGGTTTCTATATTTATAATAAACACATATCTTTACGTCAATTTGAGTACGACTTATGTGCATCATTGTGCACTCAATGCTCAATCAAATTCGCTGTATGATAAGCGTGATTCCATTTATCTAATTTATATTACAAATATAAGTAGTCTTGCAATTGTAGCATTCCTTATATATAAATATACATATATTTGTAATCACTGATAAAAGCCTAGTAATCACTCAAAGGAATTTTCCGAGATTTGAAAAAAGCAATTATAGTGCTTTTACAATCTTATGATCTTATTACACATTAAAATAAAAGATGCTATATAAAGCTTAAAGTATTTTAATTAAAATTATTTTAACATAATTGTGTAAACTGTATCTTAAATGCTGATTTAATATGAAACGTATGACTTTTTAATTAATATTATCTATATAAATATATTCAATAATTATCGATAATTGTCAATTGTGAAAAAAAGTGCAATACATTGCATGGAATGAAGAATAGAATAAAAGTTAAATAGGATAATCAAAGTAGGAAGATTTTTGCATTCTGAGAACAGTTTAAATAATTAAAAAATTTGCATTTTTGTAAAAGGCTCATCATATTTGTGAAATATCCAAAAATTATTGAATAATACTCTGATAATAAAATAAAAAGATGGCAAAAAAGTAGGATGTATAATAAATATTCTTTATATTTCCCAAGATTCCTTCTTTCACAATTGTTCTTGATCTAAATTGTTTGATTAGAGAAATTTAAGATCTAAATGCACTCTACATTCCGTTTTTCTTTCTTTATATTTTTAAACAAGCAGGAGAATGTATTTAAAGGATGAACATATTTAAAAAAGGCAGTATAAATAACAAAAATGATGTAACTTCTACAAAAAAACGCAATTGAATTTATTCAAAACAAAACAAGATATACTTCAGGCTTTGTACTGTGTTCGAAAACACTATCCAAGTATCATTTTATTCTTGTTTAACATTCGGTGAATAAAATGAAATTCGAAAATGTTTTCAAAATAGTGTTTTTGTAGCCCTGGATGAAAAATAAGCTTCGTTTTTTGTATAAACAAATTTTCTGTATTTTTTCTCCTTCCAATTATTTTTCATGTGTTTCATTTTTAAAAAGTGCAACATACACGGCAATCAGAAACAGACAGAGAAAAAGAAGAGAAGAAATGGATGAATAAAATGCACATTCAACAAAGTTCATTTCTATTCCTCATAGATGTATGTTATAAATATCCCATTATCTACGATTGAAACTTTAAACGAGACAACTATCTCGCGATGCAACAAAATCAATTTGCTGAGTTCGTTCCGCTTTAAGAGTTAGAAATCAAAGTGAAAGTACCAGGAAGGATTTCTTTAGATATTTTTTACGAACATCATTTATTTAACAAAATAAACATAAATTTATATTTGATTCTAGACTTTTTGATTCAATTCTCTTTCACATTTGATCATGACTCGCACTTCCTTTTAACATTCTCCACTCGTTTTTATAGTACTGAGAATTGATTGAAACTGGGCTTGGGGACATTACTTAAAAATAACACGTTATCATTATTTTTTATAAAAACTAATTTAATTAAAATACAATAAAAGAATATTTATTTTACGATTTATTTTACGATTGTTAGAAATTTTTTCACTGAGATAGAATTATTCTTCTGAATCTAAAAGCATAATCCAATCAGCAACTTCCAACTATTGCAAAATAAATATTTTAGTGAATGCGAGCGCTTGTTATTGGTCTATTCTTTTCTTTTAGATCATCCAATTAGACCTTCAGATCTAGAAGAATACACTAACAGCAGCAAGTATTCATTTAACTGTTGAGTCTGTTAATCTGTAAATTAACACTGCAGAAATTGGCTGTGTTTAGCAGAGAAAACTAATCAACGCTTATTAGTAATTTTTTAATATGATTGGTTCTTGCCTTTAGCTCTTGGCTGGATCTAAATGTAGGAACCAATTACATTGGAAAAATCGAACCACTGTTGCAAAACTGCTTTTTCTGCTGAACGCAGCCTACGACGTCCAACTTTTTATCATTGAATTATCAATCATTATCAACGTCGATACCAGCCGATGGCCAAGCGGAAATAACACGCGAAATGCAGCAAAGTGCGCGGTCATGACGCTAGAGCGGCAGTCGATGTGTCCGTCGACGATCGCGAGGGCGATCCTACGAACGATACGCACGTAGTGCCCGTTGGGGGTCGTGATTTATGTGTCGCGGGTATCGTTCGTTACTTGCTAATAGTGACGGATATCCCCGTGCTGTCCCGTGCTGTTGACAGCGGCGGTGTTATTGACGCAACGACGAGAATCCGCACCACCGTCGTCGCGTCGGCGTTCTACCGTGCTCCACAATTATGTCACGAGGACGACCGCGTTCGCGACTACCTTATTAAAATCGGTGAGAGCGAATCGACGTTCTTTTCCTGCTACTGAACGAAATAAACGGGCGATCGGCCGCTACGGTTCGTTGACAGGAGCCACGACATTTCCCTCCGTGGAACTCGTTCGACTTCATCGTGTTCGCCTATTCATCCGTTTCTCCCACTATCTCTCTCGCTCTCACACTTTTTGTCTCCTTTCCCCCTCCCTCTCTCTCTCTCTCTCTCTCTCTCTCTCTTTCTTATTCCTCGTAGCCTCGACGTTTCACCTGCCAGTCAAGCCGAGAAGATAAGTGCTCGCCCACGGGATTAGGAAAGGGATTAGAAAAGTCGTTAAATGTGCTCGGTCGCGGAGCGGGAGAGAAAGAGGAAGGGACTTCTACCCGTCGTCGTCGATCCTCACCACGTTGTCTCCGTAAGCAGTGCTGTCCAGTGATCGCTGGTGATCGCGCGTGTCTTATATCGTACACGAAGCACGAAACAAGGCGTGCGATCGTCATCGGTTGTTCCAGGCTGTTCCAGATACGTAAATGATTTTCGCCCGTCGCGCTTAAGAGAATCGCAAGCCCGCAACAGCGGTGTGTGTGTGTGTGTGTGTGTGTGCGTGTGCGTGTGTTGTGTGTTTGTGTGTGTGTTCGTGCGTGTGGTGTGCGCGCGCGCGCGCGCGCTCTGCGCGTGTGTCCGTGTGCGTGTGCGTCGATGTGCACGCGGCGTCGCGCGCTCATCGAGGCAGCCTTCACGTCGGGACGGCATTTCTAAGGAGAGATACTTCTGACGCGCCCGAAACCGAAAACCCGACATGATGAAGAGCAGTGCTCTGATGAAGAAGGAGAGCAAGATGCGCATACGTGCTTTCCCGGTGAGTAATTACCGCGGATCGAGAAACGCCTGGTCATCCGCGCGGGGGAGGAGAGGGGAAGAGAAAGAGAACCCCTCCCTGCCCCCGACCCCCTCGTCTCGAATCCTGTGTGTTTGCCCGTTCCTCTTGTCCTTCCTCCCTTCTTCCCTTCCTCCCATCCCTTCTCTGTCTACCCTTAACGCGCCGTGCTGTTTTGCGTTACCCGTGTATGATCAACCTATTTATTTATTTACTTGTTTATTTTGCGCCCTTGTGTCGGTAACGACAACGCGAATGCATCCGGATGTGTATAAACATCATCCCATAACCTACCTGGGATATGGAGCGTCAACTGTAAATAATAGGTCTGTTCTGCGTTGCTTCAAATCTTCAAAAATGTTTATATTCAAATGCCCATTCTCACCAATGTAGATTAACTTCAATCTCGGTTCAACTTCGGTTACTCTTCGTTTTTTTTCTAATCTTTAGAACTAGAAAAAAACGAAGAGTAAGTTGAATCGAGATTAAAGTTAATTTATATTGGTGGAAACGAACATAAATCAGAAATGTAAAATCTTTGTTTTATTCCTACAATATACTGCACTAGAATCTTCTTTCTCACTTTCAAGTATCAAATGTATATCTATTTCACTTTAGGTTTTAAAAGTGTTTATAATTGCAAAATTCTTAGATATGATTGCTTTATACATTTGGATCCTCCAGTAAGGAACTAAGGGCAAAATTAATCATATTAAAGATTTTATAACAGTTGCAAAGCTGTTTTTTCTGTTGAACGCAGCCATTAGTTCAGCTACAGAAAACAGACCTATATAGTCGGGCGTTGAAGAGAGAAAATCAAAGATGCTGAATGCAAAAAGTGTAAGCAACGCAAACATATCTAATCCCGCATCTGTGAACAGTCTGGACGCTCCGGATTCGTATCCCAATTCGCGCTCGTGAGGATGGACTTGTTTGACTGTTGCAACAGTTCTATTCGCATATCTTTCTGTTCTGTTCAGCTGAAATTTTCTTGCACGATTAGTGTTCTTAGCCCCAGGAAAAATCAAACTTTTTCCATTGATTTTATTTTGCCAGAAAATTGAGAATTTGTACGGTTCATCTTTTGCTTTTCTCTACGTTGCATTGAAAACAAGGAGAAAAGAAGTGCCGTGTAAGGAGTTCTGCACAATAAAAAGAACAGGGAACAGAGAACAGAGAATAAGAATTTCAACCTATCAAAAATCATGTATTATGGAATACACAGTTTGTAAGCATAATACAATTTAAAGGCTGGTATTCATAGTCAGATCTTATATTCAAGACTGTCTTAAGTACAGTCTTAAGAAGTTATGAATCAATCAGAGGGTGGTATTAGCGTCTTAAAACATTGCTTAAGACAATCTTAAAATAAGAATGGATTATGAATGCCGTCCTAGGGGTGCTTTCCATTTGATGATACAAGTCGACACAAGCATCGTTCTATGCTTCTTGATATTCAGAGAGTGACAAAGATAAAACGACACTTGTATTGACTTGTGTCATCAAATGGAAAACACTCAAGAGCCTATGATCTAAATGCTTTTTACACTTTAATGAGCGTTCTACAATAAGTCATTAGTCATAAATCAGAAGTCAGAAGCTAAAAATTGACAACTATAATTAGTCAATTTTTAGCTTCTAACTTCTGATTTATGATTTATTGTAGGCTTATTGTATTAATAACTTATGTAGAAGGACCATTATACTTCAAATATCTGAGAATCTTAGAGATTGCGAAAAGAACAAAGAATAGAGAATAAGAATTTCAACCTATCAGAAATCATGTATTGTGGAATACACAATTCTGATAGGTTGAAATTCTTGTTCTTTGTTCCCTGTTCCCTATTCCTTTCATTGTGCGCAACCCGTTAATTGATATGCATAACTAAAAAATAAGATTAGAGTGATATGTAATCTAATGTCCGTTTCCACCAATCTAGTTATTCATTATTTAAAAAACGAAATATTTCTAGTATTATGATTTGAACAAACACTAAAATATGACATTTAAGAATTTAGCATGGTTGTGCAGCTGCACTTTATCACAACTGTCTTTTATACTACTATATATAGTATAACTATTAATTATCTAATCTTTAGAACTAGAAAAAGATGAAGAGTAAGTTGAATCGATATAAAGTTAATCTATATTGGTGTAAATGTATAATACTTGTTTCTAGATTTCTATCAACGTAATTTAATCTTAATCTTTAACTATCTCATCTTTTCTTACTTCTAGAAAAAGATGAGTAAATTGAAATTAAAGATAATCTGTATTGATAGAAACGATATTAGATCCAATTTCACAAATGTAAGATTAATTTTAAGAGTTTCGAGGAATTAGAAAAATAATAGTAATTCTTAATAAATAATAATTCTTAGAATTAGAAAAAGATAAATAGTAAATTAAAAAGAGATTAAAGTTAATCCACAAGTGTAAGAGTATTACATCATAGAAATAATCTTATATTTGTACGATTTAACTTACTATTTATCTTTCTCTAATTCTAAGAATTACTATTTATCTTTTTCTAAGAATTTGGAAAAGATAAATAGTAAATTAAAAAGAGATTAAAGTTAATGCTGCATTTATGGAGCTGAGTCTAGGAGACTCGGATATTGTTGGAGTCAGTCATCTTTGTTTAAGTGAAATAAGACATTTGCAGTTATTTAAAAATAAAATTAAAAATAAATATTGTTTATTTAATGATTTATGTGACTATAGAGATTTGGTTTTTATTGCTGAACTCGAACTTTCTTGCTTTCTGCTATCAAGCATACCTGTTCTACTGTAAGTAAAAAAGAATATATATGTACATCTTAGTTCAACTATCAAAAGGCTTGTTCTTTTTAAATCTTTCTTTCCTCTCCAAGTTAAAGAAAAAAAAAGATGAATCAAGGAAGAAAAAAGATAGATCTATTAGCAGTTTTTAGATCTGTTCTTTGTTGCTGCACTTGACTACATTAAAACTCTGCCTAACTTTAAATATCTGTTTCATTTTTAATAAAAATGTACCAGTTCAGCTATAAAAAATAGATTTAATAATTAATTTTTCAACTAAATATTAGTTGAATTAAATGTATAAATTTCAGAACAGATAATATAGAATTAATAATTCCAAGTTTGTCAAACTAGTATCCTTAATTTAGATCTATATATAAAAAAACTGTATATAATGATATGTGTATGTCATTAAATTAAATTTTACATATAATTATATTTTTCTTATATTAAAAATGTTTTCTTTTACTCTTTGTAATTATGTATCATATATTTCTCTTCTGTTCTAATATGTAACATATTGGCACCAATTAGCAAACGTAATATTTTAATTAAATAAATATGTTGATCATTAAAAATATGCACATATATTTTAAGTATTGTCGAGCATCAAGAAAGAAATTGATAATTAATAGTTACACTATTACAGTGTAAGACAATTGTGATAAAGTGCAGCATAACCATGCTAAATTCTTAAATGTCATACTTTACTGTTTTTCAAATTTATAATGCTAGAAGTATCTTGTTTTTTAGTAACAAATAACGTGATAAGGTAAAATGACATAACCAGTAATTTATGAAGAAATTAGCATGATGTTACCAAGAATCTGTAATTCTGTACTTTTGTACATTTGTACAAACATTTTGCTTGTATTATTTTTGTATAATAGGTTATATATAGAAATATGTCAAAATATATTTCTCAACTTGCTTTTTAAGTTTTCGTAAAGCAGACCATAAGAGTTAAATTAATCTTTGAAATATTTAATTTTATATTCTACCAAACAATTAAAAGCTTCTCTCTGATAAATGAATGATGATTTTATAATAAATATGATAAATATTGATCTAATTAAAAAAAATTGGTCTTGCTTTAGATTTAATAGCAGGTTTGTAAATATATATATATATTCTCTATATAAACATGCATTGTTTAATGATTGGTAATGATAAAACTATATATATTTGATATATTATATAACCTAAATATTTGTTGATAAATATCATATGAAATGGTGAAAAAGGAATCAAATAATCTTTTTTTTCTTAAAGTCTTTCTTATTTGTAAATATTTTTATCAAGGTTATGATAAAGCAAAATATACAAGCAAAATCTGTACATAAAAAAAGTTAAAAAAACATGGATTATCAAAATGAAGACTGTGATCTACAGCAAAGCAGCAGAGTGGTTGAGACAATTCCTGCGTCGGGATTGATATATAAGAGCAATCTTCTTATAATTCGTAATACTCTTGTGAGAGTTATTATCTGTTATATTTTTATTATTCTTATATTTTTATTATTCTATATTATTCTAATAAACATAAGTTAATATTTTTTAATACACAATTATATTTTTCTATTACGTAATATATTTTATATTTACAACATAATATTAAAAATACATAATATTAAAAATTAAGTAAGAGAGAGCATTTATGATTTCTTTTTAAACAGAAACGAATAGAAATGTTGAATTAGTCTTATCTAGTTAGCAATAGAATTTAATCAATTAATCACAAACACTATTATATATTTTCACAGACAACTATGGATGAGAAGTATGTAGAAAGTATCTGGGCCTTATTGAAGAGCGCTATCCAAGAGATACAGAAGAAAAATAACTCTGGCCTCAGTTTTGAAGAACTTTATCGCAATGCTTATACAATGGTTCTTCATAAATATGGTGAACGATTGTATACAGGACTGAAAGAAGTCGTAACGCAACATCTCGAAAACAAAGTACGAGAAGATGTTCTTCGTTCCTTACATAACAACTTCCTACAAACTTTAAATCTAGCGTGGAACGATCACCAAACGTCAATGGTGATGATCAGAGACATTTTGATGTACATGGACAGAGTCTATGTTCAACAGAATGATGTAGACAATGTGTATAATCTTGGATTAATTATTTTTCGAGATCAGGTAATTTTCTAATTTGTATTATCTATTTAATATTCTATTGTAATAAAGTCTTTTATATGATAATTGATTTTGCAACATTAAATTGTTATAACTGTTGATTTATATATATATATATATATATATATATATATATATAATGAGTGATTGTTAAATATATTTAATGTTAACAAGTGTTTTGTTAATTTTAGGTGGTCAGATATGGATGTGTTAGAGATCATTTACGGGAAACATTATTAGGTATGGTTGCAAGGGAAAGAAGAGGAGAAGTAGTAGATCGTAGCGCTATAAAAAATGCCTGCCAAATGTTAATGTTACTTGGAATTAATAATCGCCAAGTTTATGAGGAAGATTTTGAAAGGCCTTTTTTACAACAGAGTGCTGAATTTTATAGAGTGAGTCTAGTAAAAAGTGTATTTGATATACTTGCACGCACTCATATGTAACTTCCAAGATTATTTTTTTCAGATGGAATCTCAAAAATTTCTGGCGGAAAATAGTGCATCGGTATACATAAAAAAAGTTGAAGCTAGAATCTGTGAAGAATCTGAAAGAGCAAAACATTATTTAGATGAATCCACTGAATCACGGATAGTAGAAGTTGTAGAAGAAGAGTTAATCAAAATACACATGAAAACCATTGTTGAGGTGCATTAATTTTTTTTATTTATGATCCACATTATATTAATTGTTGATATAGTTGAGTTTAAATTGTATCTTATAGTGATCTTAATATTTTTCTATGCTTGATAGATGGAAAACAGTGGTGTAGTGCATATGCTCAAAAATCAGAAAACAGAAGATCTTGGTTGTATGTATAAACTATTTTCGAGAGTGTCGGATGGATTGCGCACTGTATGCGACTGCGTATCTCAATTCCTTAGAGAACAGGGCCGTGCGTTAGTGCAAGAAGAGCATGAATCAACCACAAATGCCGTTCTTTACGTCCAAAATCTGTTAGATCTAAAGGATCGTTTCGATCATTTTCTACATTATTCTTTCAATAATGACAAGAATTACAAACAGACGATAGCATCGGACTTTGAATATTTCCTTAATTTAAATCCTAAAAGTCCCGAATATCTCTCATTATTTATCGACGATAAATTGAAGAAAGGTGTTAAAGGAGTTAGTGTTGTGTATATAATTGCAATATATTTTATGATTTTTGATATAAATATATTTGGTTCGACATAAATATATTTGGTTTTAGATGACAGAGCAAGAGATTGAAGGAATTCTAGATAAAACTATGGTTTTATTCCGTTTCTTACAAGAAAAGGATGTATTTGAACGGTACTATAAACAACATTTAGCCAAACGGTTATTGTTGAATAAATCTGTTTCAGATGATAGTGAAAAGAATATGATATCCAAACTTAAGGTAAGAATTAGAATTTTATTCACTTGAATCGAGGTCGTTCATTTTTATATTAATAGAGATTAATAATATGTAATATTTTTTTAGACTGAATGTGGATGTCAGTTCACATCAAAGTTGGAAGGTATGTTTAAGGATATAACAGTCAGCAACACTATCATGGATGAATTTAAAGATCATGTCCTTCAATCTGGCGTAAGTATCTTAAAATAATATAATAGTGTATAGACTTGATGAGAGAGAATATAATAAAAGGTTTTATTATGAGAAAATATGTTTTAAATATTTCTACGATTTTAATATTAAAATTTTGTATAAATATTTATTTTAATATTTCTCTCTCCTATATAAGTTATAAATTAGAGTATATAATCAACTTATAGAGACAAGATTTAGGGTTGACATAGATCGGGAAAACCGGGAAAAATCAAGGAAATTTAAATTGGTCATGGAAAACGAGAAAAGTCAGGGGAAAATATAAAAAGTTTGGAATTTTAAAATTTGCTCATGGTTCCCTTAAATTGTTTCTATTCCAAATAATTGTTATAATTTTTTAAATATTATATCTAACGTTTATAGTCAAATATAACGTTTAAAATTTGCGCACTTTAAACGATTTTAATAAAATAATTAAAATATATATTTTATTTAGTATTTTTATGTGATCTTCCTTTTTCGTCATAACTGCATTTTTTCCAATACTAATTAATTTTCTGTTGGCTTGAATTTACATTCAAAATTTTATTACACTATTAAGCTTTTTTTGCATTATTTTTAATAATAGATTAGCTTTTCGACAACCCTCGATTTTAAATGTTAAAATTTACATATTTTATATTAGTCATGGAAATTCAATTTTCATCTGGAAAACTTGGAAAAGTCAGGGAATTTTAAAATTCATTTTTGTGGCAACCCTGAAAATTGTTAATACATAATATTTTGATTACATTTAATTTGATTACTATTTTGTAGAATATTTTGTTAAAAAATTAATATTTATATGTATAGCATTAATTATTCTGTATGTTTCATAAAGACAAATCTGCATGGTGTGGATATAAGTGTCCGAGTACTCACAACTGGATTTTGGCCAACACAGTCAGCCACTCCAAAATGCAGTATGCCCACTTCTCCGCGTGATGCCTTTGATGCCTTCCGGCGCTTCTACCTGGCTAAACATAGTGGTCGACAGTTAACATTACAACCACAATTAGGTCAGTAGTTTATTATCTTTGTATATCTATTTTTATCAATATCTATTTTTATTCAAATATCTAGTAATATAATGTTATAAATAACAACTTACAAAAAAAAGAGTAATTATATATTATAAAGAGAACTTACAAAAAGAAGATTAATATTATAAATAACAAAAATTTGTACAGGTTCTGCTGATCTAAATGCTGTATTCTATGGACCACGAAGAGAAGAGAGTAATTGTGGAGGCTTAGATACGCCATCGTCTTCAAGTTCTATTGGAAATGGTAGTAACGCAAGCAGTAGTTTAATGAGCCAACGAAGCAGCCTCTGTAATACACCACGAAAGCACATAATACAAGTTTCCACTTACCAAATGTGCGTGCTAATGTTGTTCAATAAGAGAGAAAGATTAACGTATGAGGTTAGTTTAAATTATTTAATTAATTAATTACAAATACGTTATTATATTAAGAATTAAAATGTTTATAATTTTTATATATACATATGTATAAATATTGTGTAGGAAATTCAAGGTGAAACCGATATTCCAGAGAGGGACTTGGTTAGAGCATTACAATCTCTTGCCATGGGTAAAGCTACACAAAGAATTTTACTTAAATACCCTCGTACCAAGGAAATCGAATCTACGAATTGTTTCTGTGTAAACGATAGTTTTACCAGCAAATTACATAGGTATTATATTTCTATGTTATAAATAATGAACATATATTAATAATCATATAGTAATCATCTTTTACTGAATATTTATATTTCTTTATTAAGAGTAAAGATCCAGACCGTAGCAGCGAAGGGAGAATCTGAACCCGAGAGAAGAGAAACGCGTAATAAAGTCGATGAAGATCGGAAACATGAGATCGAAGCAGCTATCGTACGAATTATGAAAGCCCGAAAGCGTATGGCTGTACGTAATTAAAATTTTTTTATAAATATAAATTTATCTCTTTCTTTATCAAACATGATTAATTTATTTTTTGCAAATGTAAAAAATACATTTTTATTTGAGATAAATTGCAATACACGTAGAATATAATATTAATTAATTTTCTCTTATTAGCACAATATACTGGTAACAGAAGTAACAGAACAATTAAGAGGTCGATTTTTGCCTTCACCTGTAATAATTAAAAAACGTATCGAAGGCTTAATCGAACGAGAATACTTGGCTCGTACACCGGAAGATCGGTATGTAAAGCATGATATATATTGTTACTAATACTTATAAAAATACAAACTAATGATACTCTGTAATTTACAGAAAGATGTATACATATGTTGCTTAATGCTGAATATATTGGATGTGTACAAACATGTAAGTAATTTGTAATAATATATATCTTCTTAGAGTACACATTAATGATTCTTCATATTTTATTCACCGAATCATTATTACACCATCATCATTTGCAATATCATTATTGTTATCTTCTCGTTGCTATTCTCATTTTTTGGTTGTGAATTATATCCAAGGGATATTCCATGTCAACAAGAAAATTATATATTTATAGAATTAAATATGAATATTTTTTCTTGCTAAATATTGAATATTCTGATAATTAGTAACATTTATTTAGTTTCAAATTTATGATGTATAATGTTTTTTACAGGAATATATAATTGGGAAAATTATAAAAAAAAATATAGATTACATCGACCGATAATTTACAGATACATATTGTTAAAGAAAAAAAAATAAAAGATAGGTCATTTATTGGATGCTGAAACTGTAAGACGTGTGTTTATATCTATTATTAAATATTTGATTTGAATTAGACATCTTACGCTTGTTATCATGGAACATCCCTGTGATTGAAATAAATGGCAAGATATTCTTTTGATAATTGACTAGTTTGGTGGAAAAGGTCGGTGTCAAAGGAATGATGCACTTAGATTTAAACCAGGGAGAAATTGATTTTTTAATAACGGCGTTGTGTCTGCTCTTCAACTTTTTACATTTTAGTTACATGCGCATTTGTTTGACTTACGCTTGTATTACAATAGATATGTAATACATGTGAGTATTCATTATAATAAATATGTATTCCAAATCAGATAGATTTTAGTTAACGTGCGTTTTCTCATAATGCGAGATACAATTAAGTTACTGAGGATGATTCGCATTGATAATATTGCAGTTAGGAATTTTTCTACAATTGTAAGACTGTGATTGTCTATGATAACATAAATACTATCTAAATATATCGTGAATTTAGGAAGAAAAATGGTACATTTACATATATAGTTTTATTTACGTTGATGTCTATCAATTATATATGTAAATAAGTAATGTGAATGTATTATTAAGAATATACTTGTCTCATTTCCAACAATTCAATATTATTTTTGAAATCTGCACTCCACACCCCTGAATATAAATTAAGTTTACTTTCTTATATAAAATGAATCATACGTAAGCGTTAACATTTATCTACCAAGTGCATTTTGTAATATAAGTTAATATATGCTTTATATTTATCTAAATGTAATTTGAATTTATATAATAAGAAACATTATACACTTTTCAATGCTGATTTAACAGCTTCTGCCTCTTCCACCTAGCTTCTCAATTATTTCATTGCAATTTCATTCAATACTGATCATTTTGATACAATAAGAAATATTTATTATAGTATGCCAAAAGTGGGATCTACAAATCTAGAGATGCAGAATTTGTTAACGGTATATTGTGCGCATGAGATTAAATAAAGACGAAGATCTTAATAAACTGCTAAAGTTCAATTTAAACTTGTATTGCACAGTTTCATATTGTAGTGAAGAAAGGCGAATGATTAGTGTCGCAATTTTATTTGTATTCTCTTTTTATTTATTAATGGAGTTTTAATATTTAAATGAAAGTTCTACCCTTTCTTACACAAAACTTAATAAAATTGAAATTCTATAACAGCACTTATTATTTCTGAAACATTCACCCCAATGCATTAATTTTCTATATAAAATTTAATACGCTAGATATATATAGATACAAAATATTTATTTTTCCCCTCAAAAATTATTCTCGTTAAGTTTTATATACATATCACAGTCAAAGTATTAAACTTTAGTAAATGTACATACTTGCTAGTCAAAATGTATACATTTACTGAATTAACACTTTGACTGTGACATTATATATACATATATATGTATATATCTATACACACACACACACACACACACACACACACACATATATTTTTCACACACATACACATATAATGTATAAAGCCTGTTCTACAATGTGCTTTTTGCTTCCTGTTTCTTGCTTTCTGCTATTTTTTATATCTTATCTTTTGCCTCTTATCCTGTTTTTCGTTTTCTATCACTCGAGATGAAAGTTCACGAACTTTGAAAGAAATGAAAAATATATAGCAGAAAATTCTCGATAAAACGGTCGCAAAGAGGAAAAAAAGCAAGATGTAAAAAGCAAAAAACAGGAAACAAAGAACACATTGCAGAATAGGCTTAATATTCGTAATACTAATATAAAAATAAATGCTAATGTTATTCATACAATTTAATAATAGAACTGTAAGATTATCATTAGAGAATATAATTCACATATATGCATAGTAGCTGTATAAATTTTTCACATAAGTAATAATATCCAATATAATGAATAGTATTCAATTAATATTTTTACAATGAGATACATTAACGATCATAATGATTAATGTTATCTATATGTTTTATTGTCAAGAAATTTGAATATAATACGGGACAAAAATTACAAAAACAATAAAAACACGATTTTATCATCTTCATAATTGCAATAACAAAATAATTTGTTATTAAACATATATATATATATACGTTCACAATGTTAAAGATCTTTAACAAAAAAATTTCTTGTAAAACATTTTCAATCTTTAGCATTTTACAAACAATTGTTTATCTATATGTGCTGTTAAAAATAAATATGAAAATAAAATTTCACTAACATTTTATATACTTTACAAAATGTTATAAATTATTGCATAAATGTGAATCGCGGATTGAAATCTAAATAATGAATATCATTTCGCATAATCACACAGAAATTCTCATAGAAATACATTAAATGGGAGAAATAATTCATAGCACGTTTATATCAAAATATGTAACTTATTTTATACTCTTGAAATATTATATTTCTTAATTCTATACAAGTATTCAGTAAACACAGCACACATAGTACAAAGAAGACATTTCTAGCAATTGGAGCTTTTGTCAATTTCATATTATATATTATGTTATATATATTATATTACATATACTTAAAATATAGAAGTTATAAACTTCTTTATCCATTCAAACTACCAGGCCATATAAAAAGAATATTCACACAACTTTCACGTAATATTAGCCGTTTAAACCCACTGTGGAAATCAGAAATTGTAATAATCAAATGGAAAGAAAAATGACTAGAGACCGTTTTTCCAATGTTCTCGATTATATTTATGTTGTAACCTTGTTAATTACTTTACTTATTTTTTATGGTATAACGTTTTTTAACATTTGAAAAAAAAATTAACATTTTACTTTTTGGTTCTTATGTTTTTCAGTAATAAAGCATGTCAAACAACGCTGTAAATAAATTTAATGGATCAGATTTTACATTAAAGCGCTCTAAGATAATTCTGTACAGTTCTGTACAGGATATAAAATAAAATCTGCAGAGATATCTGTGAAGAAAATCTAAATTTTACATTTAGATATTGAAAATTAACTTACAATCACTTGGAATTAATAATAATAATAAATTTATATATCAAATTAATCAATGTGAAGAACATAAAATTGTATTCACATATTATAAAATCACAAGATTGAAAAAAATTGTAATTTGTTACAATTCAAATTACTGAAACTGATTAAAAATTGAAAGTAAACGTTGTTCTTCTTTTATTATTTGTAATCTTAATATTATAGTAACAGTTATAAAGCAGTAGCTATAAATTCGCGCGCGAAATGCAATTATAAATTAACATCTTAAACGACATTGGAGAAATTATATGTACTTTAATACATACTGTATTACATACGCTGCTACATCTGACAAATATGACGTCTCTATGCTGAACCATTTTCATCATCGTATACATTCCTACAGGATCAAGCTGGAATGTAACGATCTGTCGATGATAAATCAAAGTATAATTGCATATGACTTCAAGTATAAATTGTATACAATATAATACAGTTATTTATCATAATTTACTGTACTCTGAAAAGTTCATCCCACTTCTTATAAACATTACAATTTGCGTATATATTCATATCGTCGGTGTTAACCAATACTGTACAGAGTCATCTCAACTTGAGAATCTGTGAGATTCCACGGGGATTAACAGACAGGTATACATTGGCTTGAGTTTAAATCAGCTGACAGGCGGCAGGCATCGTGGTGGTGATGGTAAGTAAAGCTATCATTCGGGGTTATTCGTTAGAAGATGATGATTCTCGCCTCTTCTCGGCATGCTTTTTCGTAAATTCTTCAGCATTTTTTAAAAACTTTTTTCTATCCTTCAGAAATTCCTCAGCTAAATCCGTTCTTAAGGGATGCTCAGGCTCAGGATCATTCACTAACGCTATCAAAGCTTGGATCACTGCAAATGTAAATAATATTTTTAATTGAAGAGATATTTTACACTTTTCATCTTACTATTTTCCGCTTTTCTTAGAAAACAAATATGAGTTTTACGTTTGCCCTTTTTTAGAAATATAAATTTTGTAAATTGCAATTAACAGCAATTATATTTAAACTTTAGAAGCGTTTTTCCAAATCATTATTAAAACATAAAGTAACTGTCAATGGAAATGCAGGAACTGACCTTGGTCCGTTTTTGTAGCTGGTTTCCAGTGTTCCGCGCTTATAATTGGCAAACATATCTGGCCCTTTTCGTCTACGTTTGGATGATATATCTTTGTTTTAAAATTTATTCTTGGTGGTTTAAAGGGGTATTCTGCGGGAAAATTGATTTCGATGCGAAATGCGCCTTTGTTATAAGGTGGATTGTCCTATGGAAGAAAACATCTTATTTTTTCACTGATCATCAGTAAAATAATATGCATCACACATTAGGTCTGTTCTTCGTAGCTCAATTATGTACCAACTGTTCTTAAAATGAAATAGATAAAGAGTGTGTTCTCTTTTAAAAACAATTTTTTGTAGTTCATTTGTAGACAACTTTTGTAAGTTCATCTTTTCAATATAAAAAGAAAAAGATGAAACAAGAATTTTGACAAAAAAAAAACCAGGTCTAATTTTAGCAAAAACGAGAAAATTTTAATTCAGTGTAGCAACAAAGAATAGGCCTGTTATCGCATTTGAAAAAAATTGTAACGGTATTCAACCACATAAAATTATATGTTACAATAAGGAATACCTTATACATATTCACTTAAGAAATGTTTCTAAATGATATTCTACTAAAATATAATAGTTACAATCAATCTTGTACACAGAGATTACAGAGTCTATAAATTATATAATATATAATTAATATATTGTACATTATATTTTACAATATATGCAATAAACTTATTCAGTACTTACAGATCGCTAATCAAGTATATACATTTTCATACATTCATTTAAATGACTCCAGCGTATCGTGGAATATCGAAATGTATTCCATGATATTTGAAAACGAATATTCCACTTATATTGAAAATGTCCATACAAAGGATACAAACAGATCGAATCGATTTTATCAGTATCCGAATTAAAGTGATTTAAGTGACAAACGTGTATAAATTGATCCAATTAATGTATTTTAAATATGCATTAAGTAATTACATCTTTTATTTTTTTTCCTCTCTCTCAAGAACATAAGTTAAGCTCCCATCTCGAATATGAAAGAAATTTAAAAAGATACACTTGAGAGAGGAACGAGACGAGTCACAGAGGACTCACGGGACGTGCACTTTGCACCCGCGCGCGCGTATTTTAGGTTACGTATTCCCCCGGAGGATACGGACGACGGCGTGCGTCAACGTACCGGCAATATCAGGCCCTGCCAGTTGAGGATATTGGATTCGTCTACTTGGATATTTGTGAAGTTCTTCATCGCCGATGCCCTGAGGTCGCCGAGTTCCTGGAAAAAGTCATCACAAGTTGAGTGCTTTGCGGGGTTCCAGTCGCGCCGGGTTTTCAGACCGAACGGGGCCCGTCCATAGGAGAGGGAAAGGAGGGTGGAAATACGGTGCACGCTGGACGGGCCCGGAACGCAAGGAACGGCTTTCCCGAGTCGACGAAAGCATTATAAACGGCCATATGAG